CCACTCGGCCGGCCCCCCAGTGGTGTTTTTTAGTCAAACAATTTTTCCATGGGAATTCAACATGAGAGGTCATGGTCAACCATAAGATGGGTAAGCATTCTGATTGGCACAAGTGTTCATAGGACTTAAATTAATCAGGGACTGTTAATTCCATTGCATTGTCAAATGAACAATAAAAATAGAATTGGCTCTTTAAATGAGTTTTCCTTCAGACTTCAAAATAGAACAATACGACTGGCGCCTCTTTAATTGGCTGTGTCACTTAGAACACTAATTCTCAGCCTCGTTTTTCTAACAAGCCTATGTTAAGGATACCACACTGGCTCCCCACACTGCTTACTTCCTGAGGAGCAGACTGCAGATCTAGGAGGTGGTATAGGTGTACTTTCAAAAAAGTATCCCCCGAGCGATTTGAAAAATGTGTGCCGCCTGTCACTCCTCACTACATTGAGAATCACTGTCTTCAGATCAGGAGTTTCTTAGAATGTAAATTCCATGAGATTTGAACTGCATTCACCATTGTATTCCCAGCACATAAAACAGTGCCTGATATGTAGAAAAGTCTCTGTTTGCTGAATGAGTGAATGAATGAATGAATTGAATCAAATAGGACTTGAGACTCCACCTAGTCCAAAGCCTTCGTTTTACCAGATTAAACATCTCATGCCACAAAAAGGTTAAGCTTGCCCAACGTGCACAACTAGTTAGTTAATCAGAGCCCACACTCTCCTTTATTTCCTTTGACGGTATATCCTGTAATAGCACATCGGTACCTCTTGGCTCATCAAAGTACTTAATCATAGGCAAATTCTGGAGAGAGCGAATATAGCGATAAATTATCTGTCCATGTTTGTAGTGAGGTCATGTATAAGCTAATAAGCCTTGGCAAGGGAGAAAGTCAGAATTTTTTGACATCTCCCTATTCAACTCTGCAGTGTGGCCTGTGGAAAGATCGTATGCTTTGGAGTCAGACTTGTTTCACAATCTTGGGCAAATTACTTTACCTCTGTGAGCTTTGGTTTTCTCAGCTCTCAATTACTGAGAGTAACACCTGTCCTACAGGGCTAGTAGGAGGATTAATGAGATAACGTGTAAAGCATCTAGCATGGGAAATGACATGTATTGGTTGTACAGAAATATTGGTTCTTCCCCCTTCCAGTAAGTAATAGCCTCAAACAGTTCACAGAAATTTCCCAGCTAAACCATTTATGTTACATAAGATACCACATGCATCCATGCCAAATATGAGCCATAATTAAGAATCATACAAAGAATCATACAAAGAAGAATACAAAGTATCATTCATGAATTCTTTCACAAGGAATCGACATTTAATTCTCTTCATGAAAAGGCAGACTAAAATGTGGAAGGGAAGTTTTCTCAACCTTTTGTAAACCTACGTATTATATTCAATTATGAACAATTTTGCTAAAATCTCAAGTGCATATTCCATTCATACCTTTTATTATTAGATCCCTGCTTCATCTTTATGAAAATATTTATTAGAAAATATTTATCTTTATGAAAAAATGATTAGATCCCTGCTTCATCTTTATGCTTCATCTATAATAAAAAGACACCCTAGAGTCTTTTTATTGTCTGCCTGGTCTCAACCCTCAACCTTCAGTTGTCTGTTCATTGTTCATGCTTTGATTTGCTGGAGAACATCTGACTTGACTTTCTACAAATCATACTTATCAAGCTATTACTGGAATCTCTGGGTCCTATATTTGGCATTTTAAAAAAATCAATTTTTTTCATGTATATGCTCTCTACAGTGGTTCTACTAACCTCCTTGATCATCCTCAAGCTACTCCCTCTCATCCTGTCTGCATTTTCTTCTCTAACTTTACTGAAAAGATAAGAAGCATCACATGTGAATTCTATCACCTTCTCCCTCCTTCAGCTCTGTGTAAGATGATGCTCTCTGAGGCCAGCTCCCCGTCAGTGCTCAGGATTCTGTCCTGCCCTCCTGTATGACACTTCCTCAGTTTCCCCCCTTGCCGTCGTCTTCAGTCTTTTCCTTGTTATATCAAACTTTATGTTACAAACCATTTAGATTTCAATGAGGTGCTTGAATCTACAGTTTCTGTTTATAGGTTGGATGGCACTCAGCCCTCACGTGAACAAAGCAGGAAGTTGCTTCTTCATGTTTACCAAGTTCTATTGGACTACATCACTTTCCTCTTGGCGACAGCTGAATGGGTCAGTGGTTGGTGCCCGGCCCTACAGCAGCCAGCCATGTCACAGGCCTGTGGGTAACCTGTGACCCTCTGGCACAGGAGCACTGCCCAGGACAGGCACTCACTTTGTCCTTGACGGTGACCTGCTGACCCAGTCAGAATCTGTTGCAACTTTGAATCTACACAGTGCTAAGCACGGAGACTTGCTAGAAAAGCAGGGACGCAAAGGAAGCTACAAATGAAGCAGAACCATAAGGTACTGGAGAAGAAGCAGTGATAGTGGAGAAGGTGGAAGAAACTAACAGAAACTGCCCCAAACTGGCAGAGGCTGAGTACTTGGCAGCTGTGCTGTTGGTTTGTCAGCGTGGTCTCAGGCTGTGGGAGCATCATCCTGTGTCCTGAATTGTGAGGTCACATGTCCTTATCATAAACAAGTAACCAAGAGATGACTTTCAATCTGAACAAGTCTCACACATTTGGCTGGCTGTTTAATCTTAACCCCTTTTTCTTCTCTAATTGGCGCTCCCTCTCTATCTTTCTACTCATCTATTAAAGTATAGTACTTGGCTATCTATGCTATCTACCCTTTCAACATATTTAGGCCTCCTATGTCTACAAAATAGTTACCAATCTCAGCGCTAAGAGTTTTGCTTGTTCCTTTTCGTATTATTAAATTCTGTGTATTCAACAATGATCTGAAATTTAAATTAGTGGCTGTTTCCTTTTTTGTCTTTTAAAGCTAAATCCAACTCATACTGCTAAATTTAATCATTGACTTTCTGTAGTTATTTAATAATCTCCTTGACAGGTTTTTCAGGAGTTTGGGGTTGTCTTAGTCAAATCTCTTACAAGTTTTCATCAATTATTTGTATTTGGGAATGTCTGGTTTTCTCAACCTTGGTACTAAGAAATGTGCATTAAGGCAAAATCGACTTGTTGCTATAGGCTATGACCAATTTACATCCCTTTGGATATATGCCCAGTGTTTGCAAACGCATTTACTTGTTTTTGCCTGGAAATGCAAACTTTGAGCTGGCGGCTATCCTGCCTTCTGTTTGTACCCTTCCTCTGCTCTCAGCCAGAATTGCTGGGTCAGATTAGTGCTGCTTAAAGATTCTCATGATGTAAATTCTGTTTAGGGGAAGACATTAGGGTGAGAGGTTAGACTAGGAACTATGTGCAACAGACCAAGTACTTTTAAAATTCCAATTTTATTAAGGAAGGATTAAATAAAAAAAGAAAAAAGCTAAGGTAAAATTCCAATTTTATTCAGTTTTTCTTTTATCTATTCCATGAATAGTTTTTGAATCTTATGTGCTAGATACTAGGGATGTAGAAATCAAAATACAGTCCCTCTTTTCATTTAATGTGAAGGCTAGGAGGTGATATGCTCACGGAAACACATTCGTTTGTGGAGGGTATGAGCTGTGATGGAGTTGCCAGCATACGTGTCATGCAGGCAGCTTAGTATGGCTGGA